ACGATGAACACACAGCGATCTTGGTTTGGCCCCTGTTGTTTACGCGCAAAGGTAATCGGAGGTCTGGAAACGCTATCATTATGTCGTAAGTTTCGTCAAGATCGTAATCAATCCATTTAACCGCAGCTCTCATCATCAGCACAGAACAATAGGCACAAGGAACAGATGGACGATCGTAAAGTATTTTTTTCTCGAATTCGTCCGAGAGTTCTTGAAGCTTTTTCGAAGGGTGCCACATTTCAAAAGGTGGGGGGAGTAGTTCACGCGTCGATGGTACATTCCCCAATCCCTGATTGATTTCACTTCGTTTTGAGTACGTGGAAAGAAATGAGATGTTGTTGCTTGATTGCTCAGGTTGATTTCCTGGATTTGGTTGTAGAAAGTGGGAAATGGTATATCAATCAATTCTATAATCCATGATTTCAAAAAGCTATTAATTACATGGTTATGTGTATGGAGACAACAATTATTATGTAGTTAAGTGTAGAGATAATTTGTTTAAGATTTGGTTTTTTCAGTGATTTTTTTTTTGAAATTTAAACCTTTAATCAAAATGCTAATGCCATTTTATACACTACATATCAATTTTGATTTTATTTATTGTTGAGAGAAAAGAGGATGCTCTGTTGCCACAATTAAAAAAACAGGAACTGGTGGTTGTTCATTGTTAAAACAAAACCCAACCAAGGCTTTTTTGAAGTTTAGAGGTTTCAAGGCCACTGATAAAAAGGAACAGGATAATTTGTGAACAATTTCCTTATTGTATTTTTGAAAAAATGCAAAGATGCTCCACCACCACCAAAAAAAACAGCTTTTAGTATTTTTAGCAACAAACAATAATCAATTCAATTGTCAATTGATCAAATGCATAATTCTTTTCTTAAAAAGTAAATGAGTCAATTGTATGATCCAAAAAAATTGAACAAAATTGTTTTTTAGCATGTTTTTAGTAATTAATTAATTAAATGCTAATAATAGAATAATGCATTCTTAAAAAGCAAACAAATCAATGTTTTTTAGCATTTTTAGTATTTAGTAATAAACAACAATCAATTCAAGATTAATTAAATGCTAGCTAACAAATAATAGAATGATGCTTTTTTTAAAAATAAACAAATCAACAGGATGATCTTCATCACGCTAACTAAATACTAAACGGCTTTGCCACCACTAAAAATAGTAACATATATGGTAACAAAAAACAATAAACGATTGTCGATTAAATAGAATGATGCTTTTCCTATGAATGAAAGCAAATAAACAAACCAATGGTATGATCTTCGTCACACTAAATAAATATTAAACGAAGAAAAAGATGCTTCGCCACCACCAAAAAAGCATTCTTAGTAGCATACACGATAACAAAAAACAATAATCAATTCAATTGTTTGAAATGAAATAGCTCTTCTTAAAATATGAAAAACAAAATTTATTTTTAGCAACAAACAGTTCTCTTTGGTTGGAAAAAGATATTATTATTGCACGATAAACGTTTATCACGTGGACAAAAGGCATTTACATTGATCATCAAAGAAAAAGAATCACGTAGATCGATTTCAGAACAAAATAAAAAAATTTTTTTTTGAAATTTACCACCCAGCGAAAAAAAAATTCCTTCCCAAAAAATTAGGTTTAAAAAACATATTTTTTTCCTGATCATTTGCAAAGCATTGCATTTCAAGGCATTGCAATTCAATGCACAATTGCAAAGAGTAGTATAGTGCAAGTCACTTAGTCCCACAACTTTCTGCGCCACACCGCCAATTTTGGGAAAAATTCCCAATCAAAAATG